TTCGGATTCATGAATTTTATCAAATCTACGAGTTTGTGCAAAAAGTTGCAAAAAATTAATAGATAAAATAGTTTTGGAAATAATTTGTCTAAGCTTTTTGAGAGTATAATTTTTGTAATTTGTATCTATAAAATTTTTCTCTAAAAATTTAATTTATCTCTTACAAATGTCTTTATCTAATTTCCACTAAAATGTTCTTATTTTAAAATATTTTCTAGTTTTAATGTGATAGAATTTGTGCATGTATGTATGTGGTTGATTAATTTTAAGATTATTGATGAATTTTTGAATGAGTTGTGAACGAAATGTAAATTTGAGATATTGATTTAATAAAATGCTAATATCAATTTGCATTGTTTAATATTTTTAGAATTAACTATTATGAATAAATATATATGACTTGAAGCTTTCGAATATTATGTATATTCTATATTAATACTATTAATGATCATCTTAGATTTTTTGTATTTTTCGGGAACGTTACTACAACAGCATTCGTTCATAGTTTAATTAAAATTGCTAAATCAAAGATTTAAATCGATTTATTTATTTAGATCTGGATTATCATTTTATTAAAATTTTTGATCAAATTATTTCCATTCATGTGCAATTTATTATTTAGTCATGTGTTATTGATATTACGTCATTTACTACGTTGTACGACAAAATAAACAAAACAGTCATACGAATGATTTGCAAATTACATTTATCAGCATATTAGATCAAATATAACATCAATAGTTTTATTAATAACATGAAACTAATTTTTTACAGTATAAAGGAAAAATAGCTGCATGGGAAAACAAATTTGCTACTATGAACTTGGCATATTTTTGGCAAGTATTTTTAACTTCCGTCTGAGTAAGTTATAGTAATTTTAGAGAAAACAAAAATGATAATTTCAGTATATCATTATATTACGTATATTATTACGTTTCAAACTCTTCTGAACATTGTGACATACCTTGGAAAAAATTAATATATGTATATATATATGCGTGTGTGTATATGTTTGTATGTGCGGATACCATTCTTCGTCGACGATTACAAGAGCATGGACTAATCGATTTGAAAAATTCAAAAAACATTCGATTTCTATTGACAAAGAGACTTGTTCATCAGTTTTTGGCAAAGGCAGGTCCAACCTTTGAGGAGATACTTAGAAAAAAGTGCAAAAATACCAGTTTTAAAGAGAATGGAGCATCCGATTAGAATGATTCAAAAAACATATTACTTGTGTTGACGGTGTTGAGAGTATGAGAATACATTGCAATTTGATGGTCTAATATTTATCTATTTTACGGCAGAATCGGCCCATTTGTTTGTGTTGCAAAATTTGCTACAATATTATATATTATTTTATAAATGCTCATGATACTAAGCATTAATAAAACTATATTATTTTTAAAAACCGTAAGTCATCCTTACACATAATTTTTCAAATAATGCTTCTCTAAAGTATTAGTGACAACAATATTATAGATTGTCTCTCTCTCTAGTACTGATGATGCAACTCATAGACAGGAAGTCAGTGATAATTTTTTTCATATCCAAAACTAATGGAGCTGTCTAAAATATTTGATAAGCGAAAAATCTACTTTCTTTATTATAATATATAAAATGTAATATTTTGATAAGCTTTTCAACATCTATATTTTTTTCTTTTTCTTTTATAGATCTTGTAATTTAATACATGGCTAATTAGCCATTTAATATCATACTTAATTAAATAAACTAATTATATATGTCGTTGCAGTTTATAATTTGTTTTTATTAACGGACATTTTTATTTTCTAGAAAATGCTATGTTATTGCTGTGCAATCAAGCGTTTTAGATAGGAAATATAAGAGGGCGTCCATTTGTCACGTGACCATATTTTTAAAAGATTTTTGGACCCCCCTTCCCCTTGGTGATATTTTAAATTTCTTCCCTCCTCCACAAACATGACGTGTAATTTTAGTTAGGAGAACAAATCGTAAAATTCTTGATTTTTTTAAATTCTTACGTGATATTTTACTACACCCCTTCCTTCCCAATGTGATATTTCATGATTTTTTGTCAAACCCCCCCTCCCCCTGATTGCCTTACGTGATTCATGGACGTTGCCTAATCTAGAAAACGCACAAACGTCAATAAAAAATCTTATTATAAGTGCATCTCTCAGATGTGTCATAATAATTCATGAGAGAAGTTAGATTTTCATGTGTGAAAAGTCTGATCGCACAGCAAATACATAACATTTTGACATTTTTTAGTACCATTTCATTTTACTGCAGATTTGATCCATCAAACTTATTATCTGTATATATTATCGTCCAGCAAATCTGGTCGCCGGCTCTCTGTCTAATAATTCATTTTACATGAAGTCACTCGCTCTAACCAAATTTAATTGAACTAGTATTTACTGAGTGTTCGTCCCGAAAGGACATGCATTTCATATAAAGAAATTTTCTAGAATCATGTGTCTGTTTTAACACAGAATACAGTTTTAAATTATTGTTTTAAAAAGTGTAGTGAACTGTGAACATTTGTATGTTAAAAAACTACCTTAAAAATTAGTAAGGTAAATGATCTTTGTAATTATTTAGGTAAATTGTGAGTTGGGCAAAGCACGTGGCCTGCTAGTATATTTCTATGCAGTTGAAGACACGCCATTTATATTGTTGTTGCACTTTTATAAATTATTTTCAATGGAAAAATTAATATTTGCATAATTCTACAATTTGTAATATTTTTTATTCATAAGAATATTAAAAAAATATGAATTTAGAAAAATATTTTGCAAAAAAAACTATTTTAAATGCAGTCTTTATATAATGATCGTCGATTTAATATCTACCTACTATATATACTATGTAACAATGAAATTCATCGGTCTTTAAATTAAAATGGTTAATTAGTAGTTGAGGGTTTCAAATTTGACAAAAAACATTTGTTTAAGCTAACGTAGGATAAAACTTAATATCTTAATTTTATTAAATGAACCCAATTTATCATTCATATTTCTTTTTCTTAAACCAAAATCAATTTTTAATGCAATGCGGGGCATGGTCAGAAAAAGTTAGTTCTAAGTTATTTCTTAGTTATATTGTTTTATTTTCCTCTATGATCATATTTGAACAAAAGGATATATTTAATTATTTTAATTCCAGACATATGATTTTTGAGTCCTTCGTTTTAATTATGTTTACATGTAAACAAAGCATTTGGAATAGTTCCAGTTTTGGTGTAAAAACTCATTTAAAATACTTTTGAGTTCATTGCTTTATGTTTTATCTTTGTTTTAAATTTTTGTTCAAGAAATGTCTGGTTTTGTTTTTAATATTTTTGTTCGGCCTTGTTATGATTTGTCACCAATAACTTTTAGTAAGTTACAAACAAAGTTTAATTAATTTAATTTTAAACTAAATTTATTATAAGAATTCAAGACGTCATGAATAACATTATTACAATATTCAAAAATTTTTTTTAAAATTAAGAAGTTATTTTTTCAAAGGTACCGCATTTTGGTTACTTATAAACCAAATAAATTTTCTGTTTTTACATTACATTTCAAATTCTTATATAATTTTTTTATACTTAATTTTTATAACCCATGTTACATTAATCTTTTATAATTTATCAAAATTAAATTAATATAGTGCCCAGGTCAAAGTTCAAAAATTCAAATTCAACACAGGAAATAATGTTTCCATGTGAAAATATATTAATTTGATAACTGATACGATATCGTTATCAAAAATATTTCTCTCTCCGACCACCTGGTATATGAGATAAAAGTATTATAAGATAATTTTAGGATCAACAGAAATCTGATATTTGGAGTCGATTATTGAAAGCAACTGATTTTTTATATTAGGTAATATGAAATAACTGGTATTTTAATTTGAAACAGCATTCAGAACAATTCTTACGGTCTGTCGTGTTTTGATGTAATTTCTCATTGTCTAGTATTGTTAGAAGGCAACCCATTGGTAAACCATTTTATTTTCTGATCGCTCTTATGTAAAAACTGATGTCACTACTACTTGAGATGCTCATGGTTTTTGAAACGTACGATTTAACCAGTTTCCTATGATTGACGAATATACTCGTCATGAGGAAGTTGCAGAGTTTAGTATATTGACGAGTATATTTTTCATGTGTATAAAACAGTGACTATTTGCTATGTAAATTGAAATTTTTCTTAGAAAGAAAATGTATTCTAAAATGTCAAGTTGTTCAGAATATTCTAGATTTATTAGAAAGCAACTCAGTGGTCAACAATTTTATTTTTTGATCGCTTTTATGTGAAAAAAGATGTCACTACTGTTGATACATCACTACGGTGATGTTTTTTGTGATTGACGCGGAATTTAGTGTATTGACGAGTATATTCGTCATGTATGAAACAGTGATCATTTGCTGTTTGTATTGAAATTTTTGTTAGAAACTAAATTATTCTGAAATGTCAAATTGTTTGGAATATTCTAGTTTTATTAGAAAGCAACCCAGTAGTCAACCATATTATTTTTTTATCGCTTTTATGTGAAAACTGATGTAACGCTTGAGAAGTTCATGTTTTTCGAAACAAACGATTTAACCAGTTTTGTGTAATTGACGATTATAATCGTCATGAAGAAGTTGCAGAGTTTAGAGTATTGACGAGTAAATTCGTCATGTGCATAAAACAGTGATCATTTGCTATTTAAATTGAAATTTATTAAAGAACAAAATGTATTCTAAGTGTAAAGTTGTTCGGAATATTCAGCAACCCAGCGGTCAACCATTTTATTTTTTTATTGCTTTTATATGAAAACTGATGTCACTACTGCTCGAGAAAAGTTCATGTTTTTCGAAACGTACGATTTAACCAGTTTCCTATGATTGACGAATATATTCATCAATGAGAAAGTTGCAGAGTTTAGTGTATTGACGAGTATATTCGTCATGTGTATAAAAGAGTGACCATAAACAATGACGAGTATATTTGTAAAGTTGTTCAGAATATTTTGAGACTATGACTGTAATAATTAAGTAGGTGCCATTTTACCTTACGGCAAGTTGCATGAACTTCCCGAAATGTGGAAATAATATACTTAATTAATTTTTATTTGGGTACTCAAAAAACATTTTTTACTGTTCATTTTGAAAATTGTTTTTGCTTTTCATCAAAAACTATTTTTACTTTCTTACATAAGTAGTTGTACTTATTTTATATATAGCCTTAGAATATTCCAAACAATTTGATACTTCAGAATACATTTCGTATTATTTTTCAAAAATTTCTTTTTGAATAACTAATGGTCACTGTTTACGTTGATACATAAAATTTTATGCTAATTCTTTATGACGAGTATCACCATCACGTACTATTTTTTTACTTAGAATTTAGAATTCAAAATATTTCATTACAAATATTGACTCAATTTTTATTTGGATTTTCTTCTATAAGTTAATGGTAATCTTGGCAATATTGTTAATACCAATTATATATTTTAGACATATTTTTATCAATAATATATATTTATTAACCTAAAGTGTTTGAATAAAATTTTGTGACTTCTTATCTTTTAACAATAACTGGTTTATACTTGGTATCACTAAAAACACGTTTTCATTTTTAGGTAAAAAGAAGTAATCCCAGTTAAAAATGTCACTATTAAAATTTGCCCCCCTGGATACGCCTCTGGAAAGGCGTCTGCAGACATTGGCAGCCGCAGGATGGATCACCACGATGCTCTGGGCAGAATTCTTATCAATAGCCTTATGTCTTTACATTGTCTTATGTTCGAGTTGGTACTGGTTGGGTGTTCTATATGTTTTTTGGGTAGCAATTGATCGAGACATTTGTCATCAAGGAGGAAGACCGTAAGTAACAAAAATAATAGTAATAGTAATGAACTTTACTCATTCCACTAGAAGGCAAGTCTTCTGTGCAATCACATTTTTACCGTTTCTTTTGTTACTTTTTTTTTCAATGTAACTTGTTTACAATTCAAATAAGAGCAGATTTTTTTTTCTGGTTCTATAAATATTATTTTATTTTATTTTGTTTAATTAAATTTAGCAGCATTGTTTAGTAAAAAAACTCATCATTTTCTCATAAATTGCTCCGATTTCTGATGTTCCTTATGGTTACCAACTTCTCTTAAAAAGTGACAAAACAATGCTGCCAATTTTTTCTTGGATATATCAAACTTTATATACAGTAATGTCCATCACCCATGTATCTTTTTCAAACATTCTAAAATCAATACATTGATAAATCTATTCATTTCACAATAATTATTTCTATTTTATTTCCCAGTATCAAATGGGTGAGAAACTGGACCTGGTGGCGATACTATCGCGATTATTTTCCATTAACTTTAATTAAAACTGCAGAGTTGGATCCTAAGAAAAACTATTTATTGTGTGTGTTCCCACATGGTTTGTTGTCATCTGGTGCTTTTGGTCATTTTGCGACGGACGCCACTGGATTTCAACAAATGTTCCCTGGAATGACTGCCAGGATTTGCACTCTTGCAGGACATTTCATGGTGCCGTTTTATAGGGAACTTATTTTGAGTTTAGGTGAGATAATGGATTAGTCGTAATTGTAATATTAATTTATAGGATTTTTTCCAACTTTTTATGGAGTTGGCTAACATACTTCGGTACATTTTTTCCAAGAAAGACTTTTCAAAGTCGACCAAGTTTGAACATTTTAAATACATAGTGTAACAAATTTTGCTAATTCAAAAGAGCATGGGCCATTATTTTATATCTGGTATAATAGTTAAAATAAATAAACAAATATTAATGATTTACTTATGAATCAAAGTTCACCTGACTAATTTTTGAGTTCAGTGAGAAATTTGAATTTATCATTTATATTTTTTTTTTATTTTTAGGTGGTGTATCAGCCAGTGCAGAAAGTATTAACTATATTTTGGGTTCCAAAGAAAAAGGAAAAGCTGCTGTTCTCATGGTAGGAGGCGCTGCAGAATCTTTATATTGCAAACCTGGTACTTACAGGATTGTTTTAAAAAAGCGAAAAGGATTTGTGAAATTGGCCCTCAAAAACGGGTTTGTAAAAAAATTATCTTAATAATTTTTATTGCAAGTGATCATTTTTTATTTGATATTTGTATGCTCAACTTGAATTACATACTCTTTTATCTGAAGTAATTTGAAACTCTGTTCCCATCATCTCATATATACAAAAAAAATAATCACAAGTGCATTATTGCATTGGTGATTAACTTGTAAAATGAGCGTGGGCTTCATTTGGCTTTAAGATAATTTTTTTTAGTTTGTTTTTTAATGATATCAAATGAATGAAGTAAAATGTGCATTTTGAGAGATTATTTTACATGTTTTACATTATTTTAAGGATCGGTCCCGATCTGTTTTTATAAATTAACTGATAATTTTTAATGAAATAGAATGTTATTCGTTTTCTAATTAAACTTATTATTCGAGGACACCTAATCGATATCTTTTTTATTCTATGTTCAAAATAGTAATTCTGTTCATTTTTTAGAACTTTGCTAGAGTCACTTTGTCAAGGAATCACCACTATTTTCATTTCATTTTTTCAACAGTACCCCATTAGTGCCAGTGTTTTCATTTGGAGAAACCGATTTATACGACCAAGTGTCAAATCCTGAAGGATCACTTTTACGAAAAGCCCAAGAATTTGTGAAAAAAATTACTGGGATTGCTTTTTGTGTACCTTTAGGTCGAGGAATGCTTCAATATTCAGTTGGTATAGTACCGAGAAGAAAACCTGTCACAACTGTCAGTAAGTAGAAATATCTAAATGATTTAATACTATAAATTGATTTACCAAATACTAAATGTTCAGATAAATATAAAAAATTCTAAAAATAATCGATTACTAAATATGTCTATTCAATGACTCATTTTACCTCCTTACCAAAACCAACGCCAACTCTCATCAAATTTGACCATAGAAAAATTAGCAAAGGCAATAATGATTAGTTGCTTAATAATTATAATTTTAACCAGCGTTTTCTAATTTTTTTTTAGTTGGAAAACCACTTGAATTTGAGCGAAATTTGGATCCTTCTGATGAAGACATTGAAAAGTTGCATTCAGAATTTACACAAGCCATTACAGAATTATTTGAACAACATAAATCTAAATATATTGAAAATCATGAGAATATCAAGCTTGTCATTGAATAGCTTGTGAGTACTTTTTTATACATTTTTTTTAAATTAATTTTAAGGTAATATTAATTTCGTTGTTATAGTTTAAATTTACTGTTTTGTTATTTTCTGGGGTATGTCGAGCTCGAAATTGGAAAATTTTGAGGCACTGAAAATGGGAATTAAATAATGAGATAGAACCTAGTTTGTAAAGCCTATAATTCTTATAAACTAATAGGTTAAATTATTATAGTCCATGGCATTATTCATTATAGTTATTAATATCATGTCAGTTCTAGAAATGCGGTTTCTTAATTAATTTTTTAAAAATAAGTTTTATTACAAATATTGCCTCAAACGTTTCTAAAATCATGAACAAAATATAGCTATTGGCAACACTAATTCTGAGATAAAATATTAAAAGTACACATTTATTTTCAATATATTTTAAATTATTTATAACCAAAAAGACTGCTAATTTTATGCAGTTTAGTAAATTTCATACTCATATAATTTTTTATTACTCATTGAATTTTTTTGGGGTTTTTTGCACATGAAGTAGTCCTAATGTCCATAAGAAAATTTTCAAGTTATTTTAATTTTTTTAATTAGTTTTATGAAAAATAATTAAATAAATAGAAATAGGCATTAAGCGTAATTTTTGCTCATAATTTATATTATTTGGTCATTAAAATCGATAATCGTGAGGAGCATTAATTTGAAATGCTACTAAATAATTAAATAAATTCATATATTGATATATTTAAATTTAAATGTAAAATAATTTCTATATTTCATTTAAATTAGCTAGTATTCATACGTGAACATAATTTTACTTAAATTTAAAATTCCATCGTACTAAAAATCGTTATTTTGAGCAAAACTACATTACTTAAGTATTCAAGTTTTATTTGTTTTGTTTATTTTGTATTCAATTTGATTATTATTTATGATTCGTTTCATTACTTTAGCATTCTAGATTTTAAAAATTGTTATTTTGAGTAATTTAACAATTCCAAACATCAATATTTATTATATTAAGTATACATACCTATATGTATAAAAATCTAGTCTATCTCATTTTGTTAAATGAAATAAGATTAAGACTTATTATATAAGATGCCTTCAATGCATTTATTAATATCATTTTAGTTATAAAAATAATAAGTTGAATATATTAGGAACTTGTACTATATATATTATTTCATATTTTTATATAGAAAGTTACTAGAATATATTAATAAATATTTTATATGAAAATATGATCGTTTGATAATTATAGTATTGAATCAGGTAATCTCATATGTATTATATATATATATATATGTATATATATAATATATATATTTATATATATTATTTTATTAAATACTAATTTATCAGTAAGGCCATACAAGTCCAACTGATTTTACAGCTTTATCAAAATATTTTTCTACGGGAAAATTAAATGATTTTTTTCCAAAGTAAAAAGCTGCTCCAAAAATACTAAGTGCGCCTCCAATACTTAATGTGAAAATGGCTTTTGAAAGAACCTGGAAAAAAAATTACAAACAAAAAGTTTTAGTAATATTAAATCAATAAAATCATATAGTAAAAAATATGGACTAATAGTTGGCAATAAGAAGGTTTGTGACATAAGAAGTGATTTATTTGGTAATTTAGCTAGGTATTCTGTGTAGTTTTAATATTTGTGTGGGTATTTTAAATATTGCTAGACATAATTTATTTATATGTTTTCAATTTGCAAATAATCGACAATTAGGGATTCAATTGGATTTTTGCAGAATTGTAGATTTCAGTAGAACAAAAACAGAAAGTAGAATTATTCTTATCAGTAAGTCAATAAAATGATTATGTTGAAAAAATAAGGATTATTATAAAATATTTAAAATTTTAGAAGTAGTTAAAAAATTTGTTTTACCTTATCCTGCCAAGCTCTATTTTCTATACATTTTCTATAACTCATTCTGGTAAATGAAACAGAATTATACAAAGGTACCCAAACTTGAGGTGCAATCCAAAATAGAAAATCATCGAATGTTTTACGAAGTCTGTATGATTTTTTGTTGACTAAATCCCTCATCTAAAAATAAATTAAAAATTATTAAGTCATAAAAAATATCTCTAAAATAAATTGTGTCTTGAAACATTTGTGAAGAACAAATTCTAATATTTTTTTCTATTGCAGTGATGTAGTTGAGAAGTGAAATTACATAATTTACCTCGACGATTTTTTCAGCCTAGTCTAATATTGAATTTTATTCACAATCTTATTTTTATTATGATTTATTTATTTTATAAATTGTAATAATTTACCTCGATGTAGTTATACATTGCTAAATCACAAATAGCATGAGCATCGTCCACTCGTTTTTCCGTAAATTCCTTAAAAACATTTTCCATGTTTTCATCTCCAAATTTTTCTATGAGATCGTCTAATAAGGAGCAATCTTCAAAACCTGTAAAAATACATATGATCTAAATTTTAAAAAATAATGATATAAATAATAATGTTGGAAGTTTTATCTGAAGTCATAATATATGAAAAAGTTTCTTGAAGAAAATTATTCAAAAAAGTTAAAGAGAGCAAAAAAGATATGATAAAATAAAAACTAATAAAGATTATTTTTACTGTTTCTAATTTGAAATAAATATCTTTTCAATAAATAAAAATTATTTTGTTACGGAAAACTATTAATTGTGATCATGTCTCATTTTTTTTTTTTTTGACTTTTATGACTAAATGATATTTTCACATGTTCTATAAATTTTGAAAAAGTGGAAACATATGCCCACGGTTTAAAAATTGATTACAATTCCATCTAAATGAGTGCAAATGTTTTAGTGATTATTTGGCCTTCATAAAATCAGGTGCAATAATGACTAATAAAGACAATTTTGTGAACTTTTACCTGCATTCATTCCTTGTCCATAAAAAGGCACCATCGCATGTGCAGAATCTCCAATCAAAAGAGCTTTGTCTCTAACATGGTAAGGAGAACACTACAATTTTAGTGTTTTATATTAATACAACACCATAATTTTTTTACCATCACATTCTATTTGTGTTTCAGATTACCCCTTACCTTAACAGAAACCAAAGGTTGTGGACCGCCTTTGAAGAAATCTTTGGTCAACCTGTCTTTTCCAATTAGAGGTATGGAATCGGGGAAATATTCCGAGAAAAATGTATGTAACTTTTCAGGACTGTCCAGCATTGAAAATTTTTCAAAAGGCATGAATAAAGTTACTGTCCAGGATTTATCTTGATTTGGCAGTGCTATCATCATGAATTGACCTCGGGGCCAGATGTGGAGGAAATTTTCTGGCATTGCAAACTAAAAAATAATAAAAAAAAATTAAATGACATAGCTTAAAATTTGAAAATTAGTTTCATATACTTTGATCTTTGTTGAAGAATTTGATTAATAATTTTTATTAATGATTATAAACAGGTTCTAACCTGATGCATACTAGATTCCAACCAGATCTCAACTAGATGATTACTATATGACTAATTTCTTATAAGACCTTTAAAAAATTCTATTTACTTTCCTACTAGACCCTTGAATCAAGTCCGATAAAAATCTTTTGCATATAACTTCGAATTCGATTTTTCATTTTCTAGCAATAAATAGAAAAATTGAGACATTTTTTTTAGTTTTTGTCAAATAACTCAGAAACTTTGTTTGGGGCACTTTTTTCAGTTATCATAGCAGAAACTAGATAAAATTTACTAAAATTCTAAGTAAACAATGGCACAATGTCCGATAGAAATGTCTTGTTGCATTATGGTTAGATTCTAGGTATATTCTCACTAGATTCTTATCATTTTGGAATTGGGTTCTTATTGGATTTAAATTAGATTCTTGTTTGATGCACTGTACATCATATTTTTACAGATATTATAAATAATATATGAACCATTAAAAATTGCATGAATTAGCTTTTAGTAAAAGCAAAAATTTGATTTTCAAAATAATCAGTTGAGCATTTGGTCCAAATAGGTGAATATCATTTTTTTAAGTTAGAAGTTAGTTATGTATAAGTAGTAGGAAGTTGATGTAATTTGCCTTAAGGCACCATGTCACTTACAGCTAATTATTTAACATATTAGTCCAATATATGTATTTTCCTAAAATGGTTATGCTTGAGACTGTATATTTAGGTCTTAAGTTCCATTTGGGAAAGAGCAGCACTAATTAGTGTGTATAAAAAATCTTGTGACTTGCTTTTGAAGTTATTACTTATTTTAATAAAATTTAATTTTTTTTTTTAAAAGTCGGGAGTGTAAATTCAAAATTATATATGTCGAATAGAACCTAAAAAAATGTCAGATTATTCATACAAACAATTTTTTGTTGAATTTCACAAGTATCATACTATTAAAAAAGTGCAGTTAATGTTTGGTGATATTTCAAGGAAGTCCAAGCTGTTGTTGAAGAAATTCTGAGGTTGGTCATTTAAATATTAATCATCAGTATTGTGGTTTAAGCTTATTTACTAACAATTACCTTTCCTTCTTTGTCAGGAGGAATACAAAGTTCCATGTAACCATGTTTGATGTAAGTTTGACTATAGTCGAACATTGCCTGTTTCATCATATGTCTTCTGACCATGGAATATGCACCATCAGATCCAATCACAAAATCAAATCTGCTGTTTGTCGTGGATTTGTCTAAGGTACTGAAAAAATTAATATTAAAATATATTTAGTCGAATATACGTATTGGTAAACGTCTTAAAATCCTTACACATAAGAATTCTAGTCTGTGAGTTACATAGTTGGATTCTGCGATATGCCGAACTTTATATACAACAAAATTTTCTTTTGGACTAATTAATAGTCATCAGATATATCTGATTTGGGTAAAATTAATTATTTGTGATTCGAACAGACAATTTGAGAACGCAATGACTAATATTACAAAAACAAATGAACAAAATTTTGAATTTGTACTACAAGAAAATTCAGGCCAAAGTAACAATTGGTATCACATGGTATATCATTAGAAAATATTTAGTATTTGTACTATTTTAGGACAATTGTACTATTTTGGACCATATGTTGAAACTATCTACATTTTTTATACCCCTAGATGTATTCACATTTTTGATATTAGATATAGTGAGAACAAAATATTTTGGATGGAGGTATTAAGTGCTTATATATTTTGATTTTAAACTTTTGAACTGTTATTTACTCAAATTTGAAGTTTATAAACAATATTCTAGTTTCGATCGTGTTGTATTCTATTGCTCAGGCTGATCTTATTCTAATTATAGATTTCTTAAATAGTTTTTTGTCTATCACTTACTTTTGCAGAGTTATTTCGCCATCATTGA